AAGACTGAAGGGGAGGAGCAGGTACACCTGTGCAAGACTGAAGGGGAGGAGCCTGCTACATGTGCAAGACTGAAGGGGAGGAGCTGGTACACCTTTGCAAGACTGAAGGGGAGGTGCCGGTACACCTGGGCAAGACTGAAGGGGAGGAGCTGCTACACCTGTGCAAGACTGAAAGGGAGGAGCCTGTACATGTGCAAGACAGAAGAGGAGGAGCCGGTACACCTGTGCAAGACTTAAGGGGAGGAGCCGGTACACCTGTGCAAGACTGAAGGGGAGGAGCCTGCTACATGTGCAAGACAGAAGAGGAGGAGCCGGTACACCTGTGCAAGACTGAAGGGGAGGAGTTGGTACACCTGGGCAAGAGTGAAGGGGAGGAGCCAATACACCTGGGCAAGACTGGGGGGAGGAGCCGGTACACCTGGGCAAGACTGAAGGGGAGGAGCCAGTACATCTGTGCAAGATTGAAGGGGAGGAGCTGGTACATCTGTGCAAATCTGAAGGGGAGGAGCCGGTACACCTGTGCAAGACTGAAGGGGAGGAGCCTATACACCTGTGCAAGACTGAAGGGGAGGAGCCGGTACACCTGTGCAAGACTGAAGGGGAGGAGCCGGTACATCTGTGCAAATCTGAAGGGGAGGAGCCGGTACATCTGTGCAAATCTGAAGGGGAGGAGCCGGTACACCTGTGCAAGACTGAAGGGGAGGTCCAGACCACAGCCCTTCCTTCATTCACAGCACTGTTGGACAATTATTGCTGGGAGGGATCTATTGGCTTATGGAGAGTCTATTGATGCTGCCTTCTGGGAGATGTATGTGCTGTACAGCATGATTGCACCGAGTGATTGTGCCACGTGACATTACATTACATGGAGCTTATATAGCGCCAAAGGGTTTGCTCAGCGCTGTACAATAGAGGGGGGGACAATACATGAAACATTACAGCAACTACAAACAGCACACGAGGGGTTAGAGGGCCCTGATCCTTGCAGCTTACAATCTAGGAGGGAGGGGGTAGAGGTACAGGAGGAAGTGGCTGTGGGGGATGGAGTGGTAGGAGGAGGGAAGGAGATCGGCTGTTAGGTGAGGGTGGGGTAGGCTTCCCTGAAGAGATGGGTTTTCAGGGAGCGCCTGAAGGTGAGGAGGGAAGGTGACAGTCTGATGGATTGGGGTAGTGAGTTCCAGAGGATGGGGGAGGACCTGGAGAAGTCTTGCAGTCGTGCGTGGGAGGAGGAGACCAGGGAGCAGGATAGAAGGAGGTCCTGTGAAGAGCGAAGGGTACGGGTTGGGTGGTACCTGGGGATCAGGTCGGTGAGGTAGTTAGGGGCAGTGTTGTGAATGGCCTTAAAGGTCAGAGTGAGCAGTTTGAATTTGATGCGTTGGGCGATAGGGATTGCACCAAGTGACTGTACCACGTGATTGCACCGAGTGATTGTGCCGCGTGATTGCACCAAGTGACTGTACCACATGATTGCGCCGAGTGATTGCACCGAGTGATTGTGCCGAATGACTACGCCGAGTGATTGCACCGAGTGATTGCACCAAGTGATTGCGCCGAGTGATTGCACTGAGTAATGTTCTCACTCCTCTCACATTTTACATAGAAGGATGGAGTCACACATTCTGAATATCTGAGAAAAGTGCAATATTGGCGACTTTCACACTGATCAGTTTTTGTTTAATTAAAAAAATAGTGATAGAAAATCGCATGAAAAAATGCATCAAATCCTGCGGAGCTCTTCACTCCGCTACCTTCCAGGTGCTTTTCTAAAAGTCCTGCTGCATTTTGGTGCAATTTGGGGCATTTTTGGGGCATTTTCGGTGCATTTTTGGGGCATTTTCGGTGCAGTTTGTGGCATTTTTGGTGCATTTTCGGTGCATTTTTGGTGCTGTATCACGCCTGTGTTTTGTCTAGTCCAGCGATAAGGGAGGTAAAAATGCATCACAAACGCGGGAAAAGCGAAGCGCAGACGGAACGCAGATGCATTTTTGCTGTGTTTGCAGCATAGCTGTGTGGAAGGGCCCCGAGATGAGAGGAGCCGGCTGACACACCAGGGACAATACCAATCGGAGGTGTCACCTTTGTTCCATTCTTCTGTTATCAGGATGTTCTGTGTGAAAGGTTGTCACCACTGGAGGGGGGGGGATGGGCGGAGCATCTTAAAGGAACACTCCACGTCAGCATTCCACACCCTGCCTCTATAGTCCATCCTGACATTGTTATGTAGAAGGTGTCACCGGGCGTGCGATGTGCAATATTGGGATCTGGCGCTCAGGACTCGATGATGGGGACAGACATTCCGTACGCGGGATCCAATCACAACGCTCGCACACCACAAACATTTATTATGAGTTGTTGTCGGCAGCGTCCAATGAGATGACAAGATTATGGTCACATGACTGGAGGGCAGGAGGGAGGTGATGTGAATGGAGTCTGTCAGGCTCCATTCACAAAGCTCCATCACCGGGATGAGTTCAGACACATGACTGCCACTTTCAAAGACTGGAAAATAACTGTCACTTTATGGTGATGCGTCTCCTGTGCGTGAGCTTTGTGAATGGAGACAAGGGAAAGGGGCGGGACTTATCTTCAGCAGGAACGTGGGGAGCGCAGGTCCAACACCTCCAACACTGAATGCATGTAATGGCAAGGGGTGTGGGGTGTGCTAGAGGATCTATTGATGCAGCGGGGGGTCTATTCTTGCTGGGGTGGGTTCTATTGTTGCTGAGGGATCTATTGTTGCTGGGGTGGGATCTATTATTGCTTGGGTGGGGTCTATTGTTGCTGGTAAAATCTATTGTTGCTGGGGTGGGGTCTACTGTTGCTGGGGTGGGGTCTATTGTTGCTGGGGTGGGGTCTATTGTTGCTGGAGGGACCTATTATTGCTTGGGTGAGGTCTATTGTTGCTGGGGTGGGGTCTATTGTTGCTTGGGTAGGGTCTATTGTTACTGGGGAGATCTATTGCTGAGGTGGGGTCTATTGTTGCTGGGGATTATATTGTTGCTGGGGTGGGGTCCATTGTTGCTGGAGGGATCTATTATTGCTTGGGCGGGGTCTATTTTTCCCGGGGAAATCTATTGTTGCTGGGGTGGGGTCTCTTGTTACTGGGGGATCTATTGCTGGGGCTGGGTCTATTGTTGCTGGGGTTTCTATTGTTACTGGGGTGGGGTCTGTTGTTGCTGGTGGGATCTATTGCTGTCGTGGGGTCTAGTGTTGCTGGGGGATTTAGTGTTGCTGGGGAGATCTATTGTTACTGGGGTGGGATCTATTGTTGCTGCCTGCAGGGGATCTATTTTACTGCTCTTCTTGTTACCTATACAAATTATTTAGCACCACAAAATGATACTTGATTCTGTATTCTCTGAAAGGGGCGGGACTGGGAGGTGGGAAGGTGGTGGAACCAAGGGGCGGTGCTCAGGGGAGGGGAGGGGGCGGAGACATAGACTTGGATTGCAGTGCCAGGTTTGTGACAACCAATGCCGTGCTGGTAGTCGGAGTGCAGGCGGAACTTTCATTTTTATCCAATAAGGAGACCATTTTTTTTTAAAATGTGTTTTGAATTTTTCAAGCTTTGTACAATATTAGAAAGTGACCATTCCACCACACACCATAGACCCGAAATGTGCGGACAACCATCACACCAACCTGTGGGGCCAAAAGTATGCGAACCCCTCCAATGATGGAGTTCAGGGGTCTCCAGTGAGGGGTCCGGGTAATCCTCCATCATACAAAGACATTGGAGACAATTGTACTCCTCCAACCTTGTGGTAACAGTTTGGTGATGACCCTTTTCTGTTCCCCCATGACTGTCCCCCGTGTACAAAGCCAGCTCCATAAAGACATGGATGACCAGTTTGGTGAAGACCCTTTTCTGTTCCCCCCATGACTGTCCCCCGTGTACAAAGCCAGCTCCATAAAGACATGGAGGACCAGTTTGGTGAAGACCCTTTTCTGTCCCCCCATGACTGTCCCCCGTGTACAAAGCCAGCTCCATAAAGACATGGAGGACCAGTTTGGTGAAGACCCTTTTCTGTTCCCCCCAAGACTGTCCCCCATGTACAAAGCCAGCTCCATAAAGACATGGATGACCAGTTTGGTGAAGACCCTTTTCTGTCCCCCCATGACTGTCCCCCGTGTACAAAGCCAGCTCCATAAAGACATGGAGGACCAGTTTGGTGAAGACCCTTTTCTGTTCCCCCATGACTGTCCCCCGTGTACAAAGCCAGCTCCATAAAGACATGGATGACCAGTTTGGTGAAGACCCTTTTCTGTCCCCCATGACTGTCCCCCGTGTACAAAGCCGGCTCCATAAAGACATGGATGACCAGTTTGGTGAAGACCCTTTTCTGTCCCACATGACTGTCCCCTGTGTACAAAGCCAGCTCCATAAAGACATGGATGACCAGTTTGGTGAAGACCCTTTTCTGTCCCCCATGACTGTCCCCTGTGTACAAAGCCAGCTCCATAAAGACATGGAGGACCAGTTTGATGTGGAGGAACTCCAGTGTCCTGTACAGAGCCCTGACCTCAACCCTACTGAGCACTTTGGGATGACCTTGAACACCGATGGTGACCCAGGTCTTTTCATCCAACCTCAGCCCTGTCGTTAGAGGCTCATGATTAAGGAACTCCACCAATAATGGTAATAGGGTCCTACCCCTCCAAGCAGATCCACTATATGGCCCAAAGGATGTGGCCCCCCTCCCAATGATGGAGCTGATGTGTCTCCAGTGAGGGGTCCTGGTAATCCTCCATCATACAAAGACATCGTAGACATTTGTGCTCCTCCAGTCTTGTTTATTTATTACAGGTACTTATATAGTGCCGTCCATAAAGACATGGATGACCAGTTTGGTGTGGAGGAACTCCTGCACAGAGTCCTGATCTCAACCTACTGAACACCTTTGGGATGAATTGGAACATCTATGGTGAGCCGGGTCTGGATGTCCACTCTGAGGTGTCCACAAACGTTCGGCCATGAACTGTAGATGTTCTTTAATCTTTCAGGCATCTTTTATGAAGTTCACAAAGTTGTCCATGGCTTGTTTCCCCGAATCAAAGGCCGGATGATTGAAGAAACTGACAATTCCATGGAAGCCATCTTTAACGTGATGCCAGGTGACCGCTATTCCGTTGTCTTCCAGGCGTTTCTTGTAGAGTATTCCGTCATCACGGAGAACATCGAACTCACACGTTAACATGTAAGTCTTTGGTAGCAGACGAATGACGGCGTCCTCCGCCAACAACGGGGAAGAAGCGGGGTGGAAGGCATGTTGGAATCTTTGGTAGATCTCCGGGTTAAAGCCAGAAATCAGATGGGGGTTGTAGCCTCTGACCATAAACTCTTCAGGAATGTTCTGAGTTCCCAACCACTTGGAGAATTTTCTTCTCAGTTCAGGAGGAACATGGACACCGCTGAGCAGGTCTGACAAGGACAGATCCACACCAAGGTAGGTCAGCTTGAAGAACTGAGTGCGTTCTCGGAGTAATAGGGGCACCATGCTGTTTTGCTGGTATGAAGGTGAGTCGAAGTCGATCATCTGCAGAGATGGGTATATCAGAGCCTGAGCCTGAGGTCTTGGAACATCTGTCCTGGTGACCAGAACTTGAGAAACGCCGGCAGCAAGGTTACCTCCAGCGCTGTCCCCACAAAGGACAATGGAAGACGGGTCTACACCATACTGCTTTGCTGTCCTCAGAAAGTGGATGGTGGCAGCCAGGCAATCATGGAACGCTGCGGGGTACGTGTGTTCCGGGGCCAGGCGGTACCTACAACAAATAGATGTTACTGGTCACCATTCATGGACAGCCATGGTCTACAGAACCATCTCTCGGGATCTTGTTCTACAGCAACGTGTACAGAAACACGCACATCGAGGCTACAGGATCCCGGCATCGAATATCACAGATTTCTACAAATCACGTCTGGAGTTCCTTCATGTGTGACAGACACAAGATATTCATCTGCAGACATGCTGAGTGCCCCGATGTGGCCCCTGAGTGAGGTGACCCCTTGATTGGATGACTGATCTCTGATAGCAATCATTCTGGCACCCCTCCCCCACCTTGTCTTCTGGACACTTTCTATTGGCCGCCTGCCCTGCAGCTTGCTTGTAGCCTCAGGCTGAACACCACCTGCCCCGACCCGGGCTTTATAGACTATGTCCTCCTGTTAGTACATTGGTGACCCAACTGATTCTGCACCTCCAGCTCACCCCAGTGGGGGGACCCAAGGCATATTTCTGTGTAGGGGGTTCTGGGTGCAGCAAAGGAGCACAAGACTTCCTCTGGTAGCTACACAATGAGCCCTTTAAAATGATCTGCATGTAGCTCCCTCCTAGATTGGTGCTAGTTAGGTCAGGTACATTTAGTTCTTTCGGCTCCCCTGTAGTCAGTGGAGCAGCTTGTGATTACTTTGGGCTGCTCTGGGATCACTGGTGGCGGGTTTGACTACTTCCCCCTGCCTTCTGGGGGGTTCTGGAATGTAGTGGGCTGGGAGCGTCAAATCCACAGACTGAATATTTATGTGGTCTTAGCCAATCCCTGGGGGAGGGTGTCCACGGTTGGGAGGGGCATAAATAGTCTGAGGTCTGGAGGGGTTCTTGTCCGCGAGGAAAGGTTCACAGCCTGAAGGACTACAACTCTTCTGGGAAAACCAGCTGTGCTTCTGAACCTGTTCACCGCTAGGTCCTGGCTATGCTGAGGGGGGGGGGGGGGCGTGTTCTAGTGCTCACCGAGGTCCTGACTATGCTGGAGGGGGGTTTCTAGTGCTCACGAGGTCCTGGCTATGCTGGGGGGGGGTGTTTCTAGTGCTCACCGAGGTCCTGGTCATGCTGGGGGGGGGGTGTTCTAGTGCTCACCGAGGTCCTGGCTATGCTGCGGGGGGGGGGTTCTAGTGCTCACCGAGGTCCTGGCTATGCTGGGGGGGGTTCTAGTGCTCACCGAGGTCCTGGCTATGCTGGGGGGGGGGGGGTTCTAGTGCTCACCGAGGTCCTGGCTATGCTGGGGGGGGGTTCTAGTGCTCACCGAGGTCCTGGCTATGCTGGGGGGGGGGGGGGGGTTCTAGTGCTCACCGAGGTCCTGGCTATGCTGGGGGGGGGGGGGAGTGTTTCTAGTGCTCACCGAGGTCCTGGCTATGCTGGGGGGGGTTCTAGTGCTCACCGAGGTCTTGGCTATGCTGGGGGGGGGGTTCTAGTGCTCACCGAGGTCCTGACTATGCTGGAGGGGGGGTTCTAGTGCTCACGAGGTCCTGGCTATGCTGGGGGGGGGGTGTTCTAGTGCTCACCGAGGTCCTGGTCATGCTGGGGGGGGGTGTTCTAGTGCTCACCGAGGTCCTGGCTATGCTGGGGGGGGGGGGTTCTAGTGCTCACCGAGGTCCTGGCTATGCTGGGGGGGGTTCTAGTGCTCACCAAGGTCCTGGCTATGCTGGGGGGGGGTTCTAGTGCTCACCGAGGTCTTGGCTATGCTGGGGGGGGGGGGGTTCTAGTGCTCACCGAGGTCCTGGCTATGCTGGGGGGGGGGGTTCTAGTGCTCACCGAGGTCTTGGCTATGCTGGGGGGGGGGGTTCTAGTGCTCACCGAGGTCCTGGCTATGCTGGGGGGGGGGGTTCTAGTGCTCACCGAGGTCCTGGCTATGCTGGGGGGGGGTTCTAGTGCTCACCGAGGTCCTGGCTATGCTGGGGGGGGGGAGTGTTCTAGTGCTCACCGAGGTCCTGGCTATGCTGGGGGGGGTTCTAGTGCTCACCGAGGTCTTGGCTATGCTGGGGGGGGGGGGGGGGGTTCTAGTGCTCACCGAGGTCCTGGCTATGCTGGGGGGGGGGTTCTAGTGCTCACCGAGGTCCTGGCTATGCTGGGGGGGGGGGGGGTTCTAGTGCTCACCGAGGTCCTGGCTATGCTGGGGGGGGGGGGTTCTAGTGCTCACCGAGGTCCTGGCTATGCTGGGGGGGGGGAGTGTTCTAGTGCTCACCGAGGTCCTGGCTATGCTGGGGGGGGGTTCTAGTGCTCACCGAGGTCTTGGCTATGCTGGGGGGGGGTTCTAGTGCTCACCGAGGTCCTGGCTATGCTGGGGGGGGGGGTTCTAGTGCTCACCGAGGTCCTGGCTATGCTGGGGGGGTTCTAGTGCTCACCGAGGTCTTGGCTATGCTGGGGGGGGGGGGGGTTTCTAGTGCTCACCGAGGTCCTGGCTATGCTGGGGGAGTTCTAGTGCTCACCGAGGTCTTGGCTATGCTGGGGGGGGGGGGGTTCTAGTGCTCACCGAGGTCCTGGCTATGCTGGGGGGGGGGTTCTAGTGCTCACCGAGGTCCTGGCTATGCTGGGGGGGGGAGTGTTCTAGTGCTCACCGAGGTCCTGGCTATGCTGGGGGGGGTTCTAGTGCTCACCGAGGTCTTGGCTATGCTGGGGGGGGGGGGGGGGGTTCTAGTGCTCACTGAGGTCCTGGCTATGCTGGGGGGTTGGTTCTAGTGCTCACCGAGGTCCTGGCTATGCTGGGGGGGGGGGGGGGGGGTTCTAGTGCTCACCGAGGTCCTGGCTATGCTGGGGGGGGGGTTCTAGTGCTCACCGAGGTCCTGGCTATGCTGGGGGGGGTTCTAGTGCTCACCGAGGTCTTGGCTATGCTGGGGGGGGGGGGGTTCTAGTGCTCACCGAGGTCCTGGCTATGCTGGGGGAGTTCTAGTGCTCACCGAGGTCTTGGCTATGCTGGGGGGGGTTCTAGTGCTCACCGAGGTCTTGGCTATGCTGGGGGGGGTTCTAGTGCTCACCGAGGTCTTGGCTATGCTGGGGGGGGGGTTCTAGTGCTCACCGAGGTCCTGGCTATGCTGGGGGAGTTCTAGTGCTCACCGAGGTCTTGGCTATGCTGGGGGGGGTTCTAGTGCTCACCGAGGTCTTGGCTATGCTGGGGGGGGGGTTCTAGTGCTCACCGAGGTCCTGGCTATGCTGGGGGGGGGTTCTAGTGCTCACCGAGGTCCTGGCTATGCTGGGGGGGGGGGGGGTTCTAGTGCTCACCGAGGTCCTGGCTATGCTGGGGGGGGGGTTCTAGTGCTCACCGAGGTCCTGGCTATGCTGGGGGGGGGGAGTGTTCTAGTGCTCACCGAGGTCCTGGCTATGCTGGGGGGGGTTCTAGTGCTCACCGAGGTCTTGGCTATGCTGGGGGGGGGGGGGTTCTAGTGCTCACCGAGGTCCTGGCTATGCTGGGGGGGGGGTTCTAGTGCTCACCGAGGTCCTGGCTATGCTGGGGGGGGGGGGGGGGGTTCTAGTGCTCACCGAGGTCCTGGCTATGCTGGGGGGGGGTTCTAGTGCTCACCGAGGTCCTGGCTATGCTGGGGGGGGGGGGTTCTAGTGCTCACCGAGGTCCTGGCTATGCTGGGGGGGGGGGGGTTCTAGTGCTCACCGAGGTCCTGGCTATGCTGGGGGGGGTTCTAGTGCTCACCGAGGTCTTGGCTATGCTGGGGGGGGGTTCTAGTGCTCACCGAGGTCTTGGCTATGCTGGGGGGGGGGTTCTAGTGCTCACCGAGGTCCCGGCTGTGTTAGATTGGGGTGGGGGGGGGCGTATTGTATTGGACCTTGCTGGAACTGATCGAGCGATTGCACTGACGATCTGGTCTGGAGAATTCACAGGAGATCCGCCTGATATTGGAAGGTGGGGTCAGGGCTGAATCTCGGGGGGGGGGGGGATGCTGTGCAGATTATAGTTGAGCCCCCTTCCCAGGTGTCTGAGAGTTCATCCGCTCATCCATGAGCCAGCCTTACGGGGGCCCCAATGTCAAAGGGGCACTCTGATGGAGATCCTGATGTAAGGGGGCCCTCTGATGTGGACACATGATGTAAAGGGGGCACTCTGATGGAGATCTTGATGTAAGGGGGGGACTCTGATAGGCACACGTGATATAATCTATGACAGCCTACTACATATTAGTGTTTCCAGGCGGTGACACCATGTGACAGGCAGTCAGTGGCTCACACACAGTGATGACATTTTGCCCCCCGACTTTCTCTGCACCCCAACATCAGACAGGCCAGACCGGCCCTGGGAACCATCCCACTATCCAGGGACAGAGCGGCCAGAGATCCCGGTGCCTCTGCGCTGCTCCCTCCCCTTTCTGTGGTGCCCGGTGTAGTCCCTGCTGCAAGGACTGTGCTGAGAGTCAGAAGATGACACCCCGGGGGAGATTTACTAAGACCGGAGCACTCAGAATCTGGTGCAGCTGTGCCTGGGAGCCAATCAGCTTCTACCTTCAGCTTGTTCACTGAAGCTTTGACAATAAAACCTGGAAGCTGATTGGCTGCCATGCAGAGCTGCACCAGATTCTGAGCGCTCCAGTTGTAGTAAATCTCCCCCAGTGTGTTACTGGAGACCCCGCAGCCTCCAGGAACCCGCAGCCTCCAGGCACTCGCAGCCTCCAGGAACCCGCTGCCTCCAGGCACTCGCAGCCCCCCTGCTCCCGCAGCCCCCCTGCTCCTGCAGCCCCCAGGCAACCGCAGCCTCCAGGAACCTGCAGCCCCCAGGCACTCGCAGCCCCCTGCTCTCCCGCAGCCCCAAGGCAACCGCAGCCCCCAGACACTCGCAGCCCCCCTGCTCCCGCAGCCCCCAGGCAAACCGCAGCCCCCGGGCACCCGCAGCCCCCAGACACTCGCAGCCCCCCTGCTCCCGCAGCCCCCAGGAACCCCGCATCCCCCCTACACTCGCAGCCTCCAGGCACCCCAGCCCCCCCCCAGCTCCCACAGCCCCCAGGCACCCGCAGCCCCCCTGCTCCCGCAGCATCAGGCACTCACAGC